AATGAATAGGAAAGAAAGATAATTGTAAATTATTTTATTATAGTTATATGGACAAAATGAAGGATTTCATCCACCTCATCCACCCATGTTTACTCGTGGTGGTTCAATAGATCGTGGTGATCATCCTCTAATGTCTCAACCATTATCTCGTCCTACAAACTATTCTTCCACATCATCAAATCAACAACAACAAGGTCCACCACCATCTTTATTATCTCAAAATTTCAAATCATATCCTACAAATCAACAACAATCATCATCATCAAATCAAGCACAATTCTATCCACCACCACCTAATCAATATACTCGGCAACCTGTACCTATAGGTGCTATGAATACAACAAATAATCGTCCACAAAATCAACCAGTACCGAGTTTAATGAGTGGTTTAAGTAAAAACTTTTCAAATAATGGTAATAATCTTAATAACACACAATCATTATTTCAACATCGACAACCATTACTACCTCCACAATCGAACAATAATCGTCCTTTGTATCAACAACAACAACAACAACAACAACATCATACACAATATTCGACATATTCAAAATCAAATGGTCCGAATGATGATAATGTTAAACCAAAACATATCTAGAAAGATATTTTGACATTTGCTTTTTCTTTTCTTTTCTTTTCTTTTTCGCTTCTCTCATTTCACATTTATTCGTTCTTTATGCTTCAGTTTTTTTTTCTTCCTTTCTGTTGCTGTTGTGTGTGTGTGTTGATTATATGAAAAAAATTATCCTTTTTCTTTTTTTGCCCACATTTATTATTCGATATTGTATATGTGTCACTTTTTTTGTTCTTTTTCTTCTTCTTGTTGTTGTTGTTGTGCTCGAGAGTTAAAAAAAGAATCATTTAACAAAAGACGCTTGTCTTATATTCTCAAGAAAAAATCAGCACACTCTTCCTTATCCTTGTTCTGCTTCTTTCGTTTATTTCATTTCATTTTTTTTTGTATAGCAATCCATGTTTCTCTTTTTTTTACCATATTTACAGACAATACACTTAAACGTTCGTTTGTCTTTAAGAAACAGACACAAAAAAACCAAAGATTCGTTCTCTTTTCGTTTCCTATTTATATTCAATCATATGTTTCAGATAAATATGTCAAATGTAAAGGATATGAATGAAGAACATCGGTTGCTATCCGAACGTTTACATGCATTAAATCCAGCTGAATTACATGCATTTGATTTACAATTAACATTAATGCGTACAGCATTTGAATCATACAAACGTGAAACTGTATTTAAACCTTGTCCATCATTTCTTATTGGACTTGATGATGATCAAATGGTAAGAGAATTGGAACTAAGTAGATTTATAATCAAAATTATATATGATGTAGATTGATAATGGAGTGTTTAGAGTAGGAGAAATATGCGTATATATATATTTTAGAAGTAGACAGGAATAGCATTTCATTTCTTTATTAGTACACTCTTGTAATATGATTAACTACGTGATAGACGGTTTTGTTAATTTGATCATCCAGACATAAACATTATTAAATAAGAAAATCTGTATCAAGTACCATATATCTAACATATGATCTCTCGTCATTGATTTATTTATAATCTAGTTTTCTCAACTATAGTATCTTTAACATCATAGAGCTATTTCAGTTATTTGTTGTTAATTTACATACATATCATTGAATATTTTGTTTTTAAATGTAAATAGATAGGCGATAATAATACTAAGACAAAAGTAAATTCTTTATTACATACTAATTTTCGAATTAATTCATGTATGAGAAAAAGAATGACTGTTAAAACATAACATAGAGAAACATTTTATTCTTCATACGTCACACTTTGTAAGAATGTTATTTCTATCATTGATTTCATAACTTCAAAAAATAATAAACTTCTTAATCGATAACAAATCATACTCTTCAACACTTTATCTCATTTAAAACTTCAGAAAAAAAAGAAAATATTTATCTTCACTTGCAATTATATGAAATTGTTTATGAAATAAACAAGTATTGAACAATGCTTCTTAGTACTGTAAGACATTTTTCTATGATTAGAAAAATTAAAATTACGAATAAGAAACTTGAGACGGGATGCGATCGAATCACCTTCCCTTAATCCGCCACTGTTAATAGGTTCTCTATTACATTTCAATCATAATTATATGAATATTTCCATATTTTACAAAATTTTTGTCTTTTGTTTTAGCGTAATGTCTTTCGTTTACCACCTGTAACTACATTTATATCAATATTTGATCAATTAAGTGATTTACAAGTTTTATTACTTAATTGGCTTTTAACTCGTGATACATTTAAATTAAATATGGTTTCTGTGGAATCAGTAAATTAAATTTTAATAAAAAAACATTTTTTCCTAATATTTATGAAATCTTTTATTAGGTACTTTCACTTGTAAAACATCAATTATCTGTTCCATCACCAAATTTTGCATTTGAAATTAATTATAATCAAATTCGTAATGAACGTTTTAATGATTTATCAGAAAATGGTCATTATAAAACATTTTATGCTTATCATGGTACACGTCTTGATAATCTTCATTCAATTCTTCATATTGGCTTTCTTGGTCATATGAATAAACTTTCATTATTTGGTTCGGGAACATATTTTTCCGTAGAACCATCTGTTTCACTTCATTATTCACCATTTGCAACTGTTTGGCCAAATAGTTTATTAGGTAAAAGACTTAGTTGTCTTTTATTATGTGAAGTTATCGATCATCCTGATCATGTTAAATGTGCAATTGAAAGTAAATAGAAAATATTGTTTTTTCGATTTTTCTTATAACTAATCTTTTTCATTCAGATGGTACATCAACTAATCAAGAACGACGAATAGTTAGTGATACTCAAGCTGGTGCTGTACCTGAAAAATATGTTGTTGTTACATCGAATGAACTTGTGAGAGTGAAATATATTCTTATTTATTCTGAACCAAATGAATTAATGCAGTAATTA